CGCGTATATATTTGGTGCCCCCTTGCACCAATATTTATGTTTTCAAATAAAGAAAGAAGGAAACACCTTGTTGGCCATATTAGCTAGGTAATTGGTAGTGATGGACATCCGAGACACTTAAAATCTGCTTTACCTCATACAGCAAACTTTATAGAAACATTTGCTTGAGAACTTCATCTAATTTTTACGACTTCACTAATTGAAGTATCCGTGACTGTTTTATAACATAAAGATAACAAGCGGTCAGAAGCTATTGTAGGCTTTTCTCGTCAGTGATTTGCTCTACTTTATTATCCTATGAAAAATGTGAAACATTTCAACTACTTAGTGTAAATGATGAAACAATGGAAATGTTTTATGGCGCATAAATGATGCTGCACAACATTTTTGCAAACATTCATTACGAACTAGAAAGAAAACATCATTCAAGACGTCAATAATTTTGATTAACTCAACAATTTTTAAAAGATATACCTGGAATTATAACTTGAAGTAATTACATAAGTGACAACTCCGCCTAGAGCCCCTCTGAGGCTGCTGCTGGTCCCAAGCCCGGATAAAGGAAGAGGGTTGGGTATGAGGTTAGCGACTCCATCCCGTAGAAAACTAACTCGCTAATAAAACGCTAACCAGAAAAAAATTATTCAAACCATTTGAACTCCGCCTTGAGAGCCAGAAGAGTTATGATGCCTCACAATAAAAGCCGAGTTCCTTCGGAAGTCACGAGGTCGATGCCCCTTCTGACAACCAGAGCAACCATTTATTTAGGCACATGGAATGCTCGCACAATGTGGGAGACTGGGAGAGTCTTCCGAATTGCTGCATAAATGAGGAGATACAACCTGGAGGTACTTGGGATCAGTGTAACACGTTGGACGCAAGTTGGACAACAACGAGCAGCGTCAGGGGAGCTCCTGTTATACTCCGGCCATGAAGAAGAAAAGGCCCCATATACACAAGGAGTTGCATTGATGCTGTCCAAACAAGCAGAAGATGCACTTATAGGATGGGAATCTCATGGACCAAGGATAATCAAGGCCTCGTTCAAAACAAAGAAAGAGGGCATTTCAATGAAATTCACCCAATGTTATGTGCCTACCAACGACTACAATAAAGACGTTAAAGATCAATTCTACGATAGGCTGCAGTCAATCATCGAGAAGTGCCCAACAAAGGACTTGACCATTCTGATCGGGGATTGAAATGCCAAGGTTGGAATGGACAACACTGAATATGAAGAGATCATGGGACGACATGGACTGGGAGAAAGAAACGCAAATGGTGAGAGGTTTGCATACCTATTTGCCTTCAGTAAACTGGTAATAGGCGGCACTACATTCCCACATAAACGCATACACAAAACCACATGGACTTCATAAGATCACACTACACATAACGAAATCGACTGTATTTGCATTAGCAAAAATTTCGGGAGGACTATGAAGAATGTGAGAACAAGTAGAAGAGATCACCACTTTCTGGTCGCCAAAATGAAATTGAAACTTAAGAAGCACTGGACAACGGGGCGGACAACAGCACAAAAGTTCAATACGGCTTTTCTTCGGGATACTGACAAACTCAACAAATTCAAGACAACCCTCACCAATAGGTTACAGGCTTTTCATGAGCTACTCAATGGAGAGGGAACTACTACGGAGAGCAACTGGATATGATTCAAGAGGGCAGCAATCAATATCAGCCGAACAAGAGCAGAAAAAGCCAAGGCACAAGCTGAATACACAGAAGTAAACAAACAAGTGAAGAGGAGCATCAGAACCGACAAACGTAAATATGTGGAAGATTTAGCAACGACGACGGAAATGGCTGCAAGAGAAGAAAACATGAGACAACTGTATGACATAACAAAGAAACTCTCTGCAAATCTCCGCAAAGCAGAACGACCAGTGAAAAGCAAGGAAGGTGAGGTAATCACCCACATTGAAGAGCAACAAAACAGGTGGGTAGAACACTTCAAAGAACTGTTGAATCGACCAGCTCCACTGAACCCACCCAACATCGAAGCAGCACCCACGGACCTCCCAATCAATGTTGGCCCACCAACAATTGAAGAAATCAGCATGGCCATCAGACAAATCAAGAGTGGCAAAGCAGCAGGACCGGACAACATCCCAGCAGAGGCACTAAAAGCAGACGTAGCGGCAACTGCACGGATACTCCACATTCTCTTCAATAAGATTTGTGATGAGGAACAAGTACCAACAGACTGGAAAGAAGGACTGCTGATCAAAATACCGAAGAAAGGCGATCTCAGCAAGTGTGATAACTACAGAGGCATCACTCTTCTCTCGATATCAGGAAAAGTCTTCAACAGGATATTGTTAAACAGGATGAAGGACTGCGTAGACGCCCAACTTCGTGACCAACAGGCAGGATTCCGTAAGGATAGATCGTGTACAGACCAAATCGTAACACTACGGATCATTTTGGAACAATGTATTGAATGGAATTCATCACTCTACATCAACTTCATTGACTACGAGAAAGCATTTGATAGCGTGGACGGGACAACACTAGGAGCTTCTTCGAAACTACGACGTATCTGAGACGATAGTCAATATCATACATAATTCCTATGATTGATTAAACTGCAAAATTGTGCATGGAGGACAGTTGACAGATTCGTTCGAGGTAAAGACCGGTGTCAGGCAAGAATGCTTAAATTTACCCTTTCTCTTTCTCCTAGTGATCGACTGGATCATGAAGTCGTCAACATCTGAAGAGAAGCACGGGATACAGTGGATAGCTAGGATGCAGTTGGACGATCTAGACTTCGCAGATGATTTGGCCATTCTATCGCAAACGCAACAACAAATGCAGGAGAAGACGACCATTGTAGCAGCAGCCTCAGCAGCAGTAGGTCTCAATATACACAAAGGGAAAAGCAAGATTCTCCGATACAACACAGCATGCAACAATCGAATCAAATTTGACGGAGATTTCGGAGATATAAAAACGTTTACACATTTGGGCAGCATCATTGATGAACATGGTGGATCCGATGTAGACGTGAGGGAGCGGATCAGCAAAACAAGAGCACCATATTTACAACTGAAGAACATCTGGAACTCAAAGCAACTGTCAATCAACACGAAAGTCAGAATTTTCAATACAAATGTCAAGACAGTTCTACTGTATGGGGCAGAAACCTGGAGAACTACGAAAGCCATCATCCAGAAAATACAGGTGTTTATTAACAATTGTCTACGCAAAATACTTCAGATCCATTGGCCGGACACTATTAGCAACAACGTACTGTGGGAGAGAACAAACCAGATCCCAGCGGAGGAAGAAATCATGAAGAAGCGCTGGAAGTGGATAGGAAACATATTGAGTAAAGCACCCAACTGCATCACAAGGGAAGCTCTCATTTGTAATCCTCAAGGCCAAAGGAGAAAAGGAAGACCAAAGAACATATTACGCCGAGAAATGGAGACAGATATGAGAAGAATGAACAACAGTTGGATAGAACTGGAAAGGTAGGCCCAGGACAGAGTGAGTTAGAGAATGCCGGTCGGCAACCTATGTTCCATTGGGGGTAACAGGCGTAAGTAAGTACATAAGTGACAAACAAATGATATTGTTACACCCCTAAAATCTGTTTATACATTTAAAGATAATTTTCACCTGAAAATCTCCAGTTGGAAAACCACTTAAACACTACAGAGTATTGGAGAATTATTTGATTCAAATTTATACAGTCCTCATGTATTGGATGATCGATCTACTACTACTCTAGAGATCATCATCGTAGTTAACAGTAAACATTAACTATTTAGAATTCATTTTATTAACCATGTTAAATTCTAGAGTTATGTGGAACTTCGTTTACAAACAATTTGGTGCATTAACTCAATCAACCATAAACAAAAATTAGTAACCATTACACAAATATACATACATATATCTGGTAGTGAAGACTATGAGGAAAATCATAAAGAATTTGTATAAGAATATAGAATTACAGAGTATAACAACACATTGATGCTTTAAAATAAGGATATTCTACTAAATACTGGTAAAGTAGATATGAACAGCTGCAGCAATAATTTACGAAATAAAAAACCCTTATAATTATCATTAATTCGATCTGGCACACGAAATGACCTTAATTACTCCGTTCATAAATCAACAGGCTGCTCATTTAAGAAATATTAAAAATTCCCGGCTGATACATTGGATCGCCTTAATACATGTACTACCTGAACAACTACTGAACTAGTATACTTAAAACTATCTTCTACCACATGTTTGTTCTGTACATCTAATGTTACTATTTATATCAAATTGATCATGCCTGTAAACTGGCGTGAATTCTGTAATTATTATTTTCAGAATATATAAATCATTATTATAATATAATTTACATGAAGTATTGTTTTTATGTGTAATAATGTATTTATTAGTTGCCAGATGGTAATTATTGTTAAATTTATTGGTTTTTAGTGCTGAGAACAGTTGTATTTTCATTATACTAAGTAACTTTTTATTATAATGGATCGATTTTATTTACTGAGTAACTTTTGAAATCAGTCGGATAGTGTACAAAGCTAGTGATTTATGAATGTTGGCTGAATCAACAAAGAATCCATATGAAAGACAGAATATGAGTCTCTCCTTAATTCCATACGTAAATCATGCTAACAAGTATGAACAGGTACGTGAATTTAGCTTCATATAGAACAATTATATTCAACTAACATGAGAATACCATACATTTACCTAGAAATAATTCTAGGTTACATGCTGATCAGATGTTTTACCAAGAGATGTACAGTCGAAATAGCATATAACCGTACTATATTAAACCAGGACGATGGGTAACTATGGATGATTAAGATTGTGTTTAATAGGGGAATAGATCAATTAACATACAGACAGTAGGAAGCAACAAAATTGGCTGACATTCGCCTGAAGTTATAAATAGACAAAATCAGTAGACAGCTTTCAGAACAGAATAAAGCACAAAAACAAATCCTTACTCGGGTATACGAGGTGGATTCCAACAATGGGTGCTTTGATTAACATGAGACGAATTCCCATTACTCATAGTGGTTGAATTAGTAGGACATAAGCTACCAGCTGCACCACTGAACAGATCACGTAGAGATGAATACTACATAAAAAAGAGATTAAACAAGATTAGCAAAAACATGTCTACAATTCAACATTGAAATGAGGAAAGAAAATCAAACTGTGGTAGTTGTTATGAGCTTTAACGCTAAAATAATGGGAAATAATTGTGCTTCTCATTTCGATTATTAAATTACACATGAAAAAAGATACTGTTGTTCTCTCTGTCTCTCTAACATACACACGAAAAAAAACGTCACCGATCAATAAATCATAAACAGCGTCAAAATAATTGCTTTTCAAATATATATATATATATAAGATTAGATTAATGAGCTGACGTGTGAGCAAAAAAAGCAATTTGAATTGGATTAAAAATCACTGAACAGAACAACGTATATGTATGCACACAGCACTGAAGAAAAATGCAGACAAAACCGGACGGTAAAACCACCCAATCAAAGATAAATATTATAAAAAACAAAAGCAAACTACACACATAAGTACTTGTGTATGTGTTTCATTACCGATGTTTTTATCACTATTATTATTATTACTATTATTTTCCTCACTGTCGTTTCAAATTACATACTGTGCATTCAATCAAACTGTAAAAGCACTCGTCGAAAAAAAAGTAAAATCAATATTACAACTTACACTGTTTTCTTTGCTTATTTTACTATTTAGCCACGTTGCTTATATGTGCCCTTAGAGATATAGACGAGAGTGTATATTTTACAAGCTAACAAAATTATAGAATACAATTAGTGAACAACCCATAACGAGAGATAGAAAGTGTGAGAGAGTGTAAATACAAGAAAAGATGAATAGCTGATCAATGAAATTTGTAAAACGTGTAAAAGAGAAAAGAACATAATTGTTCAGAAATGGAAAGTAGGCACAAATATGAAATAATACACAACATGAAAATAAGAATAACAAGAGAAAAACGAAACGAAGCTAAACAACAGTTGGCACATTTACAAACAGGGAGCATGTACATACACTCAGACACATGTACATATGATTTATATGATGAAAAAGGGCATGTACAATTGGAATCTAAAAATGTTTCCCAAAAATCATCAACTCATAGATTAAAGTGTAGTGAGATGATTGTTAGATTGGAAATTGCTTATATTTATTCATAAAAATATCAAATGAGAAAGGAAAATATGTTGTATTAATTTAGTCTCATTATATTACAAATATCCCTTGGATCTGTTCTAAAGTATATATATAGGTGCAATTTTTTTACGATTTAGCCTTATCTAGAGGACCAGTGGAAACCAGCAAGCAAGCAACACTTATGTGTCCTTGTGGTGTGTGCTACTTATATTGACATAAGTACTATATGATGTTAGTTGTGAACAGAAAGTCTGGCAGCAAAGAGACAAGAGGATCAAACAGTAAAGAACGGAAACAGGATGCAATTTGTATGAAAATGCAAGAACAATGAAGTCTAAGTCATTTTGAGACAATTGGTGGACATTTTGAAAACTAAGCATTTACTTTATGATTGTTAGATTTTACTAACAAGTCCTGTAATTTTGTTTTAAATACATCCGATTGTTCCCACTGGTGTTCTTGTTCACTACATCCTGACCCTAGAAACGGTTGAACCCGAAACGTTTAAGTATTGTGGTGAACATGGTAAATACAACATTAATGGTTGATAACACCAAATTAAATTTGTAATTTAGTGTGATTTTTAACTAGTGTCATTAATGATGTCTGTTTATGTCCCAGAAGATTTCCTTCTATTTAGAAATATTACAAACAGTATAGAATTAAAAATGTAGACAGTAGATTTGAAGACTAAAGTACTTACGATGAACTACTCAATGATGATATATGTATTTCACTGATATGAGAAAAAGAATATTGAACTCCAAAAACAATAAAAATAATCACTATAATGAAATCTTTAAGAAACATTGAAAAAAATATAATTAAAAATTATGTTATTCAAGAAAGTGAAGATAATTGGTTAAATGTTATGATGAAAATGATGAATTAGTTGATGGATGAGACAAAAATAAAAACATAATATAGAAATAAACACATTACATCATATTACTTGGGTATTAATAATGATATTTGATCAGTTAACTGATAACAAAGAATAAAATGTATCAATTAAAAACAACAGGGTAACATTGGAATTTGTGTCAAGTAACAATTATTCAATTGATTCACTATTTGTCAATATACTTACAAAGATTAAAAATAGTGAACACTGAATTTATTTGGTTATCAATAGTTAACTTAAGTTATTACGTATATAACAGAGATAGTAGGAATTTGTACGATAGTCACTTAATATACAATGAAACAATCTATGAACATAAGTTTTTATACATTTAGTACACAAGTGAAACCCCAGAGCGTTACCCATTGAAATGTTGAGTCCAGATAATCGATTCTGTTTTAAATTATCATAGTTAGAACTGGTGGAAATTTTTTCCAAGCTGAAAACATAATCATGTCAGTAAAATATAAATTTCACATAATTTTTAGTGCTGGAATTATGGTAAACTTAAATAACTAAAATGTGAGTATATGGGAAAAATACTTGCAAATACGGAACATACAAAACTGAATTTATTGTCTCACAAATTCACCCAATGTACTTGACAATCATAATTAGCTATGAACAAATGGTTAGGGATCGATCAAGAAATCAAGTCACTTTTATTGGCAAAATTTTGGGAATAATTTTAAATCAAAGGTTTACGAATTGTATATTGTCAAACAAAAAAATAGTTGAAGGCGAGAAAACCCATCCAAACATAGATACACATATAAATCAATTTCAGATGATGTCATTTTCTATTTAACTCTTTATGAAGGTTCTATGGTTTCAAAGACTTCTGATCCCGGCACCATTTAATGATCATTTATATTTACTACGTTGATTTTATACTGAACAATTGGAAAATAAATATCATTATAGACCGATGTTAGTTAATTAAATAATGAAAACCAGAGATAAACTGCTTCAGCATATCAACAACTCCACAACTGATCGAGTCAAACAGCTTCAGGGTTGATGACAAACAAATCATCTTAGGATCATTATATTTGCATCCAATATTCTGTCTTTCAACATTCATTTAATGAATTTCTATTCTTTAAAAATAATTCAACCAGTTGTATGAGATGAAAGAACGATGGAACAGCAATTAAATCAAGTAAAATCTGAACATAATTTTCACATTAACTGAACACAATTAAATAAGTGGCTAAAAGAAAAACCACAAGAATAATTAAAGCTGTCAAATTGATACAAATTACACGCACACACATACCAACTACCACCACCAACATAGAACAGAATCATATTTGCCTTGAACCAGAACACACACACACACAACGGAATCGGATTTATTATTCATACGAAGGACAGAAAATATTAAACACGAATCACAGAAAACGGACACCCAAACTAGATCAGTGATTATGAGAATATATAAATGCATATATTGTAACAGCAGTTTGTTAGCTAACATTGTTGACAAGACGTAGAAAAACAACTTACCTTGCCAAAATCATCATTATGATATTAGTATGAACATTTTTAAAGCACCTTTCAGTGAAGATAAACAAATTGAAAATGACACAAGATATATATATATATATACACTAAAAAGAGAGTAGAAAACTTGACAAAACCGAACAATTCAAGTTTAAGATAAATAATATTAAGGATAATAAATCATTATCAAGAAATTTGGAGCAATTAGTCCCTTTTATGTATCTTGATCGACTTCGTCTCCGAATTATGAAGTAAAATTACAGTAAAGGGCTACATGTTTATGTATAATGATAGAAAAAAACAAAGACAACTTTGAAGTAATAATGTTGTAAGCAGAAAGTTGATTGTTTAAAAACAGAAAGAAACAATATTGTGTGTGTAATGTGGGTATGTGCGTGAGACTAATTAACTTATGGAGAAAACAATTGCAAATGTTAATCGATGCAATTATTGAAAATAAAAACAACTTGATTTCCTCAATCATCATAATAACATTGAATAAAAAGTGCTTATTGTATCCAAAGTATTAAGGAAGATAACATTTTGGCGTTTAAATTAGTGTCAGTGGGGATAACAACACACACCATGAGGCAATTACATCCTATTGACAAGTCTTAAACGAAATGAAATGAGTGCATTCGTGCATTTGACATATGCAGTTATACAACTTACATATCCTGATAATTATTAGATTCAAGACCTTGGATGAAGCTCTACATATGTATATACACACCTAGTAGGTTGTAGATAGCTTTAGCGTGTCATTCTTTTCATATTTATCTGGAGTTTCTAACTTATTGTTTAGTATTATAAGTGGGCGAGGGTATTTATTCACCAACTGTACTAAAGGAACTATCAATAACTGTTTAAACTGTCATGAACCCTAAAGATTATTAGAAAGATAAACTGATTTGTTAGCTCATGTAATTAATGTGAGAATCATCCGAATATGGTGATGAGTCGTTTTTTTTAACTAATGACTGTTGATAGAAGATAAATCCATGTAATCATTAAATAAACACTTGTATTCCTTTCTTTAAACATTTAAACTTTTTTTGGCATCTCTTTAGATTTTATCATGTTGTATCTGGTTTCTTTCAATTGTTGATTGCGTTTAGTCAAATCCAGTAATCACTATTTGAAGAGTACGTTAGGGAAGGACGGAATAAAGATTAAATGAACAAGATACATTTCATAGATACTCATGTATATTTGAGAACGACTGCCCCTTCTGTTTTGCATATTTATACAGAACAAGATAGTTAGATATATAGTGATTTTTGTGTGATAAATGTTAATTTATTATAGTTATCCAACTTTATAAAGAATAAATGACATTTCTATTTGACAAACTACATGTTTCATTTAAACATTGCTTTGCTTAGTTACTTTGTAAGAATGTAGATAATTTAATATATAAACTGAACTCGATACTTATGTGCATATTTTGAGTCGAATGAATTATGGATTCAGTTAATATAGTGAATATGAAATGAGTTGGTTGAATTAATCTTAAATATATAATGGATCTTATTTTCAGAGTTATATTGTCATACATATTCACTAGATTAAATATATAGATTTGATTAATTAATTGTAAATATTATTGGTTTATTTGGTGAGTTGTATGTTGGCTAGATGTTTTCTTATTGAGATCTGAAACATTTAAAGAACTATAAACTGGTAAGAAATCCATCACACATGAGTCACCGAATAAATTATACTTATTTATCATCAAAATTGATTGGTTCATTCTAAACTTCCTTCGTTTTCTTAATCTATAAGAAAGGTCATTCAAATTTAGGTGTAGGTCAAGAGGTGGATCGACCATATGTTGAAATTTCATTTTCAATAAACTGAAGAATACACACACACAAAAAAACTATTGACCAAAAAATAAAGTTGCTACTTGAATTCTCTAAATATCGATAGTAATTAGCATTGCTACTAAGTAAGTAATCGGAGGAGAGAGAAAGATGTGGTCGAAATTTAATTATCCCACTAAAAACAGAAAAGTAAACCATTTTACTGTTGAAAAATTAGAATAAATCTTTAATAAAATTCTTTTTATATTTTAATATTCAACAAAATAATTTAATCCTCATGGGCGGCCTGCTTGAGCATCTGGGCTACCTGTTCCTGCCATCTAGATATTTCAACAAGTTATCTATTTTTGTTTGTCTTAATATATTATTATGTCTTTTAATCGCATAACCTATTCTGCTGAGTTTCTGAAAAGTGTACAACCTTTCTTTGTCAAAGTTACAAAAAAACTCAATAAGAGACAATGTGGTTGCTGGCAAGATACAACGAAAAGAATGCACATTATTCAGATGCTCATTTACTGAAATGCTAACATCTAACTGGCGATTACTCAATATTTATCGCCAGGACCGACCAAGAAGAAAGAAACGGAAACTTGTTGAAATACTTTGCGCTGAGGATTCTATATTGTACCAAAAACATAATATTGAATAAAGTTGATGATAATAAAACAATAAAAAAACAGTATGGAATTCATTCATGTAATTATTGATTTATATTTTTGGCATATATTCTTATGTAATTGTGAAATTAATGTATCAAATGAACAATATCAGACAGTAGCCGGTTAATTAAGAAATAACAGATTGACCTTATTTATATTCTATTTAGGATACTTATTTAAGCACAAATACAAAGAATTGGGATAACATTATTATTATTATTATTATTATTATTATTATTATTATTATTATTATTATTATTATTATTATTATTAATGCTAATACTATTAAAACCGTGTTATTTCCAAAAAAAGTAATTCAATTCTTTATTTATTCCAGTATAAAAACCTTATGGATATTATTGATACTTAATGGGGAAAAAACTAGGTGAATTCAAAAAAGGCAACATAAAAATGATTTTATCCCCAGGTGAATAGAATTTAAAGAAACCATCTATGAGAGTAGATGGATTTTCATGCGTTAAGTAGGACAAATCAATGATGAATAAATTAAACTTAAGTCATACAAAAAACTAGCTTGATTAATAGGAATTGCTTTAAGATGATTCAATGTTCTAGTAAAAAACTCACGATACATTTAAGTTGACCAAATTACTAAGAAGAATATGGATATAATTAGAAAAAAACGGATTGTATAAGACGAAGATAAAATAATAGTTTAATGAATAAAGCACTCAGTTGTCAACCAATGAGGCACAGGTTCGAATTTCACTTCATCTACATCAATTTAGGAAGCTACGTTGGTAATATTAGCCATTATATGCAAATACTATGAATTAACGTCAAATGGTACATTGACTCGTATTTAGTTAATGATCTAGATGAATTTTATATTGATACTGAAATTAAGTGATACTGGTAAATCTGGACTATTAGATTCTAAGTTAGTAACTGGGTGTTTGAATTCGAATTCTATATAACCGTTTAACAAGTTCATTAAATTACTGGGTCCATTATTGATGAGTTAATTGTACATTGATGACAATCGTTTTGTCAATAACACAAATGACCACAAGCAATGACAGGATATTCTCACGCCTATTGATCCACACAAATCATGCTATTGCGACAGTGTGCAGTCAGAACACGAGAACAATATAATTTGACTTCCATTATTATGACTCTACTATGTTTGAAGAGATTACGAATTCACCTAATCTGAGAACGGAACGAAGACTGTGATACAATGACAGATAGATTAGTTATCCCGACGCGTCTCAGTCCAGCTAACTAGAGAGAGAAGTCCAAGTTCTGAAGAGGGAAATATATTCCACAGCAGCCAGAAGCACGAATAAAAACAACAAGCACAACTCAAGCAGATATATACAGCATAAAATTTCATTGGAAAGTGTTACAAAATAGATGCTAAAAGACACAACGAACCAATAGCGTTTAAGATCCTCCCAAGTGAGAAATAGGTCATGAAGGTAAAAATGAGCGCTCTTGGCCCAAAAACCAGAAATTCAATTTTTTAAAATAGAATTACATTAATTTACTAAGTGATTTCTGAAGATCTAACCTCCCCAAAAGACTCAAAAACTCACATGATGATATAGTATACATCAATGACAATACGAAAATGCGTCACAAGTAAGAATTCACAATCTATGCACAATTAGGCTGTTTTTGATGCAGAACTGCGTAACAAGTGGCGCAATTATAAATTAACGGTAAAAACTATGTATATCAACAGTTAATGATTTAAATGAAGTTTACAATTAGGACAGTATAAAAATACCATTAACCAAATATTTAATGAATATTGAATCAGTATATAAATGATAAGTTGCCGTACAGTAGTTCTAATAATTCCACCTTTCTCACTTATTCGCCTACCTCTAACTCTGAGAATGAATTTCGGAGTTATGATGACCAGTCGAGTTCAACACTGTCGGGTGTGAGGTAGTTATCCACAGAAGACAATGGAAGATGGTCACACAATCGACTCAGTGGTCTAGAGGTTAAACGTTTTCGCGTGCGGGATGGTGGATGGGCACTATTGAGGAGTCCCATACTAGAAAGAAACAGTTGTCCAGTGCTTCCAGGTTTTGATGGGTTGATGATCCCAATTAAAACTCAACAATCTGAGAATGGGATTCACAATACTAGGATGAGGCAGTTAGTTGTTTAGTGCCCCTATGATTTTTATTAGTTTTTCATTAGAGATATCAGTTTTTAAAATAATAACTATCTCCAAATTATCTTATGCTTCTCTTCCGAAATCGATATAACCATGTATATGGAAGATGAGAAACAATTATAGTTTCATGAAATTCACTGTGGAACAATTAAAACAAGATTTTATACTATCGCTTAAGATCCGTTCTACGAAATGAAGCCTTTCAAAGAGGAGCATCAGAGAAAAACCTGATAAAAATGCTTCGGAGTATAAAGTTAGTTTGATACTTTTTATTAAAGTCATAAGAACAGTAACAGATAGTAAAAATTAAATAAAACAGTTCGAATAAAACTCTCATGAAGTCTTTATCAGAGATTTTCCCTCTTTACAAAAGTAAGAAATAATAGGAACACGTAGGTATACTAGCATCTTTCGATTTCTATAAAATTTAGGTGACGGTATCGTTATGTTGACTAATCAGACCATTTATTTGCAACTCGAGTAATAAACATGTTTAATCAATCACCCCCCCCCCCAGTATTTCAAATACAAAACAAAAAAATATCAATCACTAACTATTAGAATAAAAGCTCTAGAATACATTTTTGAACAAAAATCGACGCAAATCATTAGAAATTACGATGAGGGTAGATCAACCGCACAAATATCGAAGAACCGAAAGAATAACCAGTGTTTGAAATGCTGTTAGCCAATGATCTTGTCAAAAATATAATATGTAGTTCAAATAGAAAGCTCACAAATTTGTATTGTCCTAGTTAAACATTCACTACTGAGATATTCAAAACGACCTTAGTGTAACCCAACGACTTTTGTACATAGGTTGATTTATCGGTTTGTGATTCACATTCTCCAATAATGGATAACAATTATGACTGGATACAAAAAACCAATACAAATATCTTATGTTTGAATACCAAACTCGAATAACTTCAAGACACATTCATAAAATGAAATTGTATCACCAATTAAACTATCAAGCTAAGAGAACAAAAAACATCAAATATCTGCAATTTGTAAGTAATCAGAAACTGCACATAGTTCACAGAATACTACTCACAGAACAGAGAGTAATCATTCAGTAGCAAGACAGCATTTATCAAATCTTTTGTTTTGAGAGCAAAATAATGGTGTTTACATGCGATTAGACAAGTTTTTTTATATATAATTCGTGTCCTGAATGTTGCATCTAATGGAAGTTGTATTTAACTTGTTTAAACAACCACCATATAAAAAGATACGACTATGTATTTAAAAAGACATTTTTGGGGCTTCAGATATTAAAAGTAACTCCTTTATTAAAAAGAGGTTTACGTATTCGGCTTCGAGTCACAAGGTTTTTGTGAAGACTAGTGATATTAATCGACCATAGAGAACCAAGGTTGGTGAAATGTGACTTGAACCTGTATTCTACTGTTTAGAACCCCTGTTTTAACTAGTAAACTACCAGCTTGCAGAAATAGAGGCGACTGATGTTTGTGATCTTAATGCGAAGAACAGGAAGAAAAATACGGTCATTATCTGATGACAAGTGATCGAATAATGTTAACAAACATATGAAGTGTATTCTTCATTAGGATAAAATAATTGAAGTATATGAAAATGATAATACAACTTGAAATTTGAAAAAAAGTACAAGAAAGGGAAAATCTTACAACTTGTTTGATTTCATTGACTTGACGAACGAGATCATTTGGAGCATTCATAGGATTCTCGTTGTCTGAGGCATCCCAGTCATCAGATGCTCTGCTAGTCCTTTGTTGACTATAATCTCTTTTTTTTGAACGATTGTTACTAGAAGTGACTTGTGATGGTCGTTGTCGTGTTTGCCAGTCAAGGAATTCTTGAGAAACAGTTGATGATTGTGGATAAGATGATGAACGAGCTATTCTATTTAAGCGTCTATTCAAATTAGATATCATTGACCATCTAGAGATGTCTGAGTGATTTGAACGATTTTCCTGACTGCTATGAGGGGGTCCAATAGGATCGAACAATGTTGGCATTCGTCGACCGGCAGAACCAAATCGACATTCGGATTCAAACTGAAAGATGAAAAAATCGTTAGAATATCAGTCAGTCAGTCAGTCAGTAACAACGTAGAACTTCGTACGTACGTACATCAGTTCGAGTTGCCACACCACATTAGCACAGAGATGCAGTTGTCGATTCAAATCCCATAGTGGTAGAGGTAGCAAGAATATAAGCAGTAATCGGGAAGATTAGGGTTTGTAGATGTTATTTAAAGAGTATAATCCAGTGAAATAAATTTGGAAAGAGGAAAAAAGGGACATGAAGAATTCAGAAGATTAGAATTTGGGAGAACACAGAGAGTGGATGCACCTGCGCCATTGCAAACGATTTTGAGCCATGTCATTCAGGGTCTCTAACCATCGGTTGCTATCATCTCGCGGTCCCCAACCAGGTAGTCTACACCTACCAACATGACTCAGTTCACTTGTCAGTGACTTCATGGACTTGTGCCATGTTTTGGTTTGGCCGCCCCTAGCTTTCTTCCAACCTACTCCTATACCACTGAACATAGCACGTCGAGGCAGTCGGTCGTTGGGCATACGTAACACGTGTCCCAGCCATCACAACTGATGAAGTTTCACTACTTCATCAATTGATTTGCCATCCTTACCTAGTACCCGTTTCCTAACAACTGCGTAACTTACTCGATGGTCGCGGGATATACGAGTAATGTTTCGAAGACACCTATGATCAAATACTAGTAGCCTACGGATATCCTCTACTCTTACCGGCCATGTTTCACTGCCATAAAGTAGGACGGAACGAACTGCTGCGCAGTAAACACGTCCTTTGGTTGATAGACGGATATCTCGCCTACGCCATAAATGACGCAAGTTGGTAAAAGCTAGTCGAGCCTTCTGTATCCGTGCTGAGATTTCGTCACACACTAAACCACAAGGGCTGATGAGACTTCCAAGATAAGTGAAGCGGTCGACACACTCAACTACTTCACTCCCTATCACTAGTTCGGGTGTCGATGTAACCCAATCCTGAAGCAATATTTTGCATTTCGAGGGAGAGAATCGCATCCCGAACATGCTTGCATTGTTGCTTAGAGTGGTCAGAAGACTCTGCATTTTGTCAGCGTCTTCGCCAAATAAAACTATGTCATCAGCATATTCTAAGTCAACAAGTGAACCTCCTGGTAGAAGTTCGACCCCTGGAAATCTAGACGAGGAAAGTGTTATCTCTAGAAGTACGTCAATGACAAAGTTGAACAAGAATGGGGAGAGTGGACATCCCTGACGAACACCACTTGAGGTGATCAATTCTGATGACAGTTCGCCATAAGCTCTCACTCTACCAGTTGTTTTCGAGTAGAGAGCTTTTATAAGGTTAATGTACTTCTTTGGTACTCCTTTCAGTGACAAACACTGCCATAGAACCTCACGATCAACAGAGTCAAATGCCGCCTTAAGGTCGAGAAATACTACCATTGTGGGGCGTCTGAATGTGTGTCTGTGTTCTAGAACCTGACGTAGTGTGAATATCTGATCTATACAACCACGTCCAGGTCGAAAACCAGCCTGGTTTTCTCTAGTCTGCTGTTCACGAGGTTTAGTTAGGCGTCGAAGTATCATTGAAGCTAATATTTTAGACACTATATTAGTCGAACTGATTCCTCTGTGATTGTCACAAGAGGACTTTTGTCCTTTCTTATAGACTGGCACAATCAGTGATTAAGACCAGTCAGATGGGATTGCGTCCAGTTCCCAAATTCTACCTAAGACCTCAGTTAATCTCACTGCTAATACTGGACCACCATCCTTAAAAATCTCAGGAGTAAACATGTCAGGGCCTGCTGCTCTCCCTCGTTTCAGATTTCCTATGGCTTTTTCAACTTCGTAAAAAGTCGGAGGACCTACATTAACTTGCCATTCAGGTTGACTAGAGATCGTGGGAAACCGAAGTGTGGCTGAAGGCCAGTTGAACTGATTCCTAAAGTGTTCTTCCCATCGATCCAATCTCTTGGATTGAGAATGAATAATATGTCCATCTTTCTCTGAGATTGTTTCGCTAACGGTCGGGTTCCTAATTCCGGTTTCCTTAACGAGTCTGAACAATTGTCTGCTATTACCTATTGCCGCCGCCTTTTCCATCTCTCTTGCTTTCGCTACCCACCACTGTTCACGATCATTGCGTAGGCTTCTTGTCAGCTTGCGCTTAAGCTGACTCCGCTCTTCACTATGTTCAGAGTCAGGTAGAATGAGTTTTCGAGCATTTATCAGTGAGATAGATGCTGCTGAGATCCAGTGTTTCTCCCTAACCTTCTGGTTTACCTTACTAGCAGATATCACTGCTGTTTCCACAGCTTTTCGGATATCATTCCATGCTGCCTCGGGGTGGGCATCACCTACATGGCCGCCTAACTGTTTTCCTAGTTGTTCCTGAAATATACTCTTAGTTTGACTATCATTAAACAGGACCCTAAGAGGTTTCCCTGCAGCGTCTTTCTTACGTCCAGTAAGACGTAGGCAAATACGCGCTCGTACTAGAGCATGATCTGAATCTAAGCATGTGCTCCAGAATGAGCGACAGTCTTCTATCGAGCCCCTCCATCGGTGGCTGATAGCGATGTGATCTATTTGGGTCCAACGTTGGGACGAATTAGGGGGTTGCCATGTTCTAAGATGTCTTTGCTTATGCTTAAAGTTAGTATTTGCAAGGAACAGGCGGTTATCTGAGCATAGCTGCAACAGACGGTCGCCATTATCTGTTCTTTGAGCCACGACACCATAAGATCCACCTAGGTGTCTTTCCCTATCGCTTAGTTTACCTACTTGAGCATTAAAGTCACCGGCCACTAATACTACTTCCGAGCGCCTAGCTTTTCGGAGAAGTTCCGAAAGCTTTCTGTAAAACTCATCTTTTACACCATCTGAGCTGCAGTCAGTGGGAGAATAGGCAGAGACGACGAAGAGGCAACGACGAGTGTCCCTATCTTTCCGGATTCTTACTGTTCCGTTCAGTCGGACAGCGCACAAACGACTGTCTACTGGGATCCACTCTAAGAGAGCTAGTTCTACCCTAGAACTCAATGCTATACCTACACCGGCGAGGCCACGGGAAGCAGAATCAGGGTTCCCAGATACACGAAGCGTAAATCGAGTCGGTTCTTTATTTTGGCATGGTGAGGTCAAATGAATGACGCTACTTGGATCCTGTATGCGCGTTTCGGAGACGCAGCACACATCGATGGCGCGAGATTCTAAAGTCCTAGCTAAGGAAGCCTGCTGTCCTATTTGGCAAAGCGTTCGTACGTTAAAAGCTCCTACGTGTAGTTTAGAGCGTGGTTTCAGGAGACCAGGAATGGCGTTCCACGTACTCGAGTCGTTTGCCCTAGCGGTGCGAGGTGATAAAGAGACGTGAGGAGGGTTAGTCGGGAGGATAAGAGAGGTATTAGAAGGTGTAGGAAAGATTTGAATGTGACCACCTTGGTCTCTTGTGCTGTTACGGGTATGAGGGCTGATATCACTTCCCGGCTGCCCACACCGTGGAAGGGTATTTCTTGAGAAACCTGAAAAGGAAATTGGATTAGTATTGGTCTTGACGACCTGGGAGCGTGACCGCAGAGCCCAAGGGACAACTGCTTGAGGCCGGTCGCGCACGGCCTTTTTGTGGAAGGTTTTTGACGTGTTAGCTCCGTTCTTCAAAGGGCCTTATCGCCGGAGACGGAAATCCGTGAGGTAAGGTGAGGTGTGACATTTTTAGGGTCGACCTTTTCTAACCCCACCCCTCCTTGTGGGAAGGCAGCATCGCTGTCATGCTGGATGTCCGAGGGAAACACCTTACTGCTGTCACACCCCTCTACAGTCAGCAGTACGACTTCGCCCTCAGACCTTGAGTTGCCGCTTTTAGTCTTACCGTTCACCAATCGACCTGCCTGGCATGGTAGAACCTGCAGGAACATATGTTCCAGCCAATATAGCTCGGTTGGGTCATCACGATAGGCAAGCCCGACCACCGCGTCAAGGTAGCAGCTTCGATCGTATAGAATATAAGATATACTTGAAGTAATTTTACTATTAATATAACTAAAAGTAAAAAATCTCTAAACAACAGCACCCACGCGTACTTACCTACTTTACATTACCATTCTGATGCCAATAAATAACTTTTGGGCTCTACCACTTCATTTTTCCAGGTTGATGAGGTCGTCAGTATTGATGCAACTTCTTGTCCCTCAACGGTACATGGGACCAGAAAGTATCTACTGCTCTATTCTGTTAACTGAGAAACTCCTTTCTTGTTTCGTTGATTTTTTCAAACATTCTATCAACAATACCTCACTAAATTCATTAGCGAATGTAACCAGTGTTGATTATTTAAGCTTAAAAGTGTCACCTCTGATTATCTAGAACGCGAGTTCTAACATATCAAACATTTCAATATTCCATCTTTGTTGTATTGGACAACAGACTTCACCAGGAAAGATTCCACGGTTGAGTGACATAAATTTATTTAGTGTTTCCGAAAGTATCATACAAGGCTTAAATGTTCTTATTGATTTATATTTATAAAATCAGTGTGAGGAAATAGTATGGTTCATCATTTAATTATCTGGAGAACCAACAGCAATTTATTGTAACCTCAAAGGCGAAGATTTATTAAATTCTAAAGCAGAACAGGGATTTTTAGGTTGAATTAAAGTTGACGGTTGATTATACATTACTCCACTAAATGGGACTATAAGAACCATTAACCCACGCTCCAAACGATCATAGCTCATATGAAATGAAATATAGATAATCCCGAAAGTTTTCTGGCTAATTTCGAAAATCTAGGAGTTTAGATGTATTAATGGTAGCATGTGAATTTAACGCCCAAGTAAGAAGAATGAGTTGGGTAAAAGCACAATTAGATGGGGTGTATTTTTTTTTTACATCAAACCCACCAAACTTCAGAACATGACTTAACGTGTCCAACTAATACTCTAAATCTAGCTGTAAATCTCTTCAATAATTTCACAGCGCATTGAACGAACATCAGTTGCGCATAACGAACGTAGAGCCGGGAAAAATGTATATCAGTCCAAGGGACCATGTCACATCAGCGACAAAGTTAACATGATGAACAGTGAAGGAATCGAAATAATAGCAGCAGAGTAATAAAACAATAAAATATAAGAGGCGGAAGAATTCTGAAAGAAAATTTACCTTAGATTTTGTTTCACTATAACGTGTTTGTAAACTAGTTATTGCTTCAGATATTTCCATTTGAAGATTACGATTTACTGCAGGAAAGTTGAATGATCTTTCCAACCGATTAGTTCCCATGATGATTGTATCTAGATGAGAGCAACAGAGAACAGATGAATTACTGTAAGAAAAAACGCGTATAGGAAGACTTTTTCGTAAAAATTAATGATAATTACAGTATGCAATATCAGTACCAAATACTAGGCTGTATAAAAAGTGAGAGATTCGGCATCTAGATACAAATATCTATGCAATGTTGCGAATCAGATTTGTTAAAACGACTACTTGACCAAATGTAACTCATTTACCAAGTAGAAATTTATGAGGTGCGGTAGAAGTTGCACGAGAGCTAGTGATGCTACCGAGCTTTGTGAACTGAAGTAAGAACCTGAGACCTAACAGTCACAAGTCGAACGCATTGACTACTGAGTCAGTGCACTAAAACAGCCATACATGTTCCAACAACACAAAACGAATTTCAGTAGAAAAAAGAACGAATGAATATCAGACATTTCATCACACACATCACGCATTCAAGTTAGTATCATTCGAACAGAAAAAAACGCTCATGTTGGATTGCTTTTTGTTAGCTGTCACTAAATATAATCAAGAATAACAAAAGATTTTAATAACAAATTAATTCCACAATATTCGAGATGGACAGCTTTTTGTATCCTTTCAGAAGCAGTTATCATCTCTAAACGATTATGCTGCATACATTGGTGTGCTCAGAAGTGTATATTATACGTAATTTTACGAGTCAACAATAGACTTGACAATAACTCAATTGTGTATACTTATCAAAATGGCCTATAAATGAACGATTACTACAATGGATATTTTTTACCTAATTATTCTGCATGTTATCGTATTATGATTTTCAATGCATTTACTATAGGATATTTCAATTCACAGGTAAATTACACGTTTGCATTAATAAGGACAATTTACTGTGATATTTTTAGACAAGTATTAAGCGGTTTGATAGGAATAAAATGTGATATAAGATAACTATTGTTAACTTTTGTTGAAAAAACAAACAAACTTAGTTTTAAAATTGAAGATGAACAGTACAACGATAGGGAGGAAAAAAGAAGCTATTCGATGACCCATAAATAGTTTAGAGGTCATACTAATTTTTTCTTTCCTTATTGATGCAAACACTATCACATACTAGAAACCAGTTGCCTCACGACACCTAGCTCAGTTCGAGTGAGCCAGGACGATATGACTAACCACCAAAGAAATGAGTACGTAAACATGTACTTTAAAAAATGAGTTATCTGTTTAGTAAAGAAAAAACAGAAAATGCTAGACGGAGACGAAAATTTAAATGAAACCCAATTCCTGTGTACAGATTCTCGTGTTCGGTTTCAATGTACGTTTTTTGTGTAAGGGCTAATAATAGTACCCAGCTACCTACTGGTTGAAGGCTGCCTAGTGAAACTAGACAAATTGAGGCAACACACTAATAAAACTACAGGACAGTAATCTAAAGTAAAAAAAACAGTTAGTTATTTTAAATCCTAAGTATTACCAATCCAGGCAATTTAATTCGAAGCAAATCAACTTTAATAACAAATTTATGTGCTAATTCTTCATTACCAATACAGTTATTCGCAGTTATTGTTGGTATTCGACAAATATTTATATTGTTACAATATGTCCATTCAATGCTTATTTTTTAAACTGTTATGTCAAGTAAATCGACAATTTTACTTTTTAATTAGAAGAATAATTTGAAGCAATTAGTCTCTTTGATAAATTTCGATAGTGTAATAAGAAGACGAAGATTATCATAATTATGTAATATATTAGTACAATACATTTCGAACAATCTAATCATACATATACTTGTTAAGAACATTTATATATAAAACTAAAAGGTCAACTGGACTAGAAATAGAGGGTAAGAGGAGACAAGGGGAATAAACAAAATAATGTGAAAGAATAATAATAATTTTAATAAAGCTAAACCAATATTCATGATATAGACTTATAAAAAATCAGACAGTATACTGTAATTGAGAAATTAACATCATATGCTATATGTATTATTTATAACTTATTCTAAAATTTAACAACCATTGACATTCAAAACAGTATTAAGACGGAAAAAACTACGTTTCATTGATACAAAACAATCATAATATGATCGTGGGTAACAGATGATGTTTAGTGACGTTATTCAATAAACAACCAATCAGCTAAACAGTAGTAACCAAAATATGATCTGGATCAAACTAATAGACTAATCAATATGTTTTTCTTTTACATTAGTAACAGTGTGGTTTAATACAATATAGATTAGTTTCCTCATTGTCTACATTTCAAGTGTTTCATTTTTGCTTTGTTTGAAGGTTCAACTTTAAAGACATGTAAATTATCAACTAAAAATCAAATAATCTACATGGATAGGCTAAACTAAGTGTGTATTTTTTATGTGATCGGTATGTTAAGAGAATATTTAAACCACAATGTTAGAACAATAAAGATGTTCAAAATAAAAGAGAACTAAAAACACAGGTTATCAAACAACGATGATTTACAATGATTCGCTATAAACAAAAGTACGAAAACAGGTGATATCAGTCGAAAAAACATTCTAAGTGAAAGATAAAGTGCGAAGCAACATACCAATTAATTGAGGCCAAATATACGCCAATTGTGTTTCATCTGGACCATCAACATGTAAACATCCGGCTAGTAATTGTGAACAACTTTCAGGGCAGACATTATTAAGTGACTGAGCCTCGCATATAGCACAAAATCGATAACGTGTAATGCCCAAAATACATTGAGATTGAGCTACAACCTGATGAAGACACAATGAAGGAAGAAAATAAAAGTGTATTATTATTATTATTGCATTATTATTGTTTATTAATCATTAAACCAAAAAATATGTAGTTTAAAATTTTTTTGTCTTATCAGTAAAAGTACTTAACACTGGAATTTTTCTCCTTGGAAAACTGCTTCTTTGGAATTATTTACAAAACAATTGCGAATTTTATCTGTAACTATTCAAGTATTTTTGTGCCGGTCAAACGCAATAACTCCATGAAAATTGCACTAAAATATACGATTTCAAAAATTATTTATCTTTGATTTGTATTAATGAGATGATAAGTTAACATTGATGGTTTGATTAGGGCTTTGCTTGCTAGTTCTTTTATTTATTTAATAACGCTTATTATCCAAGTTGGTTTGATGATGAGAATTGTAAGCTGAGAAATCATTAAAGGGTTACTCGGTAGCAAACGTATACAACTATCTAGAATTGAATAATAAATTCGAGCGAAAGTTGGCTTTGGACAACTGAGTGGTATAGAAGCTTGGATACATTAAATACGACTTAGATAAATACTACCATATAATAACGTTCTTAGTACATTCTGTTCAACCTGAGATAAATTATTGGTTATTCCAAGGACATAAAAGTCATCGAGATTTAGAACTTTATTATTAATTTGATTGATTGACATTTTGCAAATCAAGTATTTACTGTATGGTTCTCAGATTTTACTAAGACGTTCTGTAGTTTTGCGTTCAAATACATTCGAATGTCTCCACTTGTGTTCTCGTTCACTACACCAGTAGCATGCACCACACTCGTCCCTCCTTTAAAGTGGTCATTTTTGTAGTAGTTCTGTTCACCGTACCAATTTCTTGTTTTCTGCAGTCTGTGCCACATTCCCCGTCAAAATGTCGAGTCTGCGCCGAGTCGTTTTCATACCAATCATTCTTTGTTCTCGTTCTATTTCTTTGATCTTCTTAACCTTTCACCTCCAGGCATCTCACTTCCGATTGGCGATACATACTACTTATATCTGTCAATCTCAGTAGCACACACCACACTACTATTATTTAGCTTCATTTGTTATTCATTTTATTAATTTTATCTTGCTATGTCGTGGTATGACAACTAGAGCTGATGAACATCTATAGCAGATTAAACGTTAATTGTGACTGACTACGTAGTTACTGACTTAAAAAAGGACTTACAAATCTTTGACAGGCATTTAGCACAATATTGTGGATTATTCTGTTATAATGTGATTGAAGTAGATCAGTAGGAAGTTTTAAACCTAGGTTTTATGTTATCTGCAACTCGCTGACAAGGCATATATACATTCTTGGGGGAAATTGTGCTTCCAGTGACAATAGAGCCAACATTACAGTTGTAGTTGGAGACACTATAACTCAGATACTCGAGAAGTGATGGACTTACAGCATGAATGAGGGATTTTCACTGGATGACTACCAAGTCACAAAGTGAGTACAAGTTTCCTCAAGATCACTGATACGCCTAGTTGATGAGTGTCAACTAACATGAAACACGTCCGAATATTCTGGATTATTTGTTGAAGATTGCATATGTACCTGGTTGATGTGCTGACTAATACGATATCTATGTTTCGACTTTATTGCATCAAATTACCCGATAGTTTTAGTTTTGAGGAAACATCTAGTATATATATTAGTTTTTGAAGTGAACAGATCAACTAAACATTGATAATGTTATTAACAAAATATTTATTTACACACTAAAACGTATTAGAAAGTATATGCTTGGATGTTACATATAACATAAATAATTTAAGGGTACAATTTTGGCGAACATTTTACAGTATCATGATTTTTTTTCGGGAAAAGCAACAAGTAACGTATACTACATTAACATTTTGTTAACAATCAGCACCTAACTGAATAAGAGTGATTTAATGATCAGATTGTAATTCAATTTCTGAATTAGCAGTTTACAATGATATTCGTTTTTCTCTTATTCAATTGGAAAAATATTTTTATTGAATCTAGTCATCTTTGCAATGTAGTATGTGAACATGGAAATCCGTAGATCAGATTACCTTTATACAGTTGATAACCGGTGTTTTCTAACATAATTAATAAAATTTATCAGTATCTTAACAACTGACACCATTAGTTGTAGAGTAAGAGGTTTATTATTGTTTACTGTTGTTATAACTCTGTTTTCTTACGGTTATGACCCAGATATTCCTATTGCTTAGTATTCTTGGACACCGATTCACTCGACAAGACCCCAAATCAGAACACTGTTGAACAGGGAAGAGATTATATTCCAAATAACAAGGTTAGATGGAGGCAAGATGCAAGCCAGAAGCACAATAGGGAAAAACGTCAGTATATTTATAGTTTTTACATAAGAAGATTCCAGAATATTCTCCAACTATCGACTAGTGCTGATTGGACAAGAACTAGCCAATCAGCGTGCAGCAAAGCAATCATTCATTGAGCATGCTTTAATCTAGTCTATGTCCCGCTAACAACTGTAAAACCACTAGGTTTTCAAACTAGGATAAGCACTAAAAAACTTTTAATAATAATAAACTTTCAAATAGACACTTCAGAAATTCGTATCATATTGAGAGTAAAAATTGTTTTTCACGTTATTATGGTACCATGTGATTGTAAAGATTGACAGAAAGCAAGATAATAAGAAATGTCTCGTTTTCCTTAGACTTATCCTAGTTAGGACCAGTGAATAAACTATACATACATGTATGTAATGTAGTATTTGAAGTATGAAGTCTTCCAAGTAAACGTTTTCTTATTTCTTAGATGAAATCCATGAACTATCATCGAACAAAAAATTAAGCAAATGTTTGTGTTGCATCAAAGAAATAGGGAAATAAACAAATACCTGATCAACCAGATAGTGTAATAATTTGCTGGTAACAGATAAAACATTGACCAACATACGAGCGGGTGGATAAGCTTCCAACATACGAGCGTGAAGTCGGACATCTACATCATCAAACGGATGTAACTGCGCAATCTTTTCAGATAAACAACGAATTCGCCTAGATTCACTAGCTTCATCAGTACCACCAACCCCAGGAAGGCTGTTACCAAACGAGCCAGTGTTAGGCGAAATCGAGCTGAAAGGAGGACTGGAATTAACCTGCCCAGATTTTTCAATCAAACTAACTATACTGTCACGAAGTTGACTGAAGAAATTTTTGATTAACACACCGAGCTGACCCCGCTGACCTGCCATATATTGTTCTAAATCGGTGAAAAACCCGAAGAAGAAATTTTTATGCAATTTATAATTGTATCCATAAATCCGACTGAAAAATTGATGTAAACGTCCTTTAGCTTGTTTTAAATCAGCTTGAAAAATTGCTGTGTAGAAAAATAAACAAATGAAGACCGAATAACTGTACTGTGTAGAATTAAAAGATAATAAACAAAGGAGGTAAAATATTTCGAGTTACTGCAGACCATTTTCTCAGCACCACGAACAGCTAAGTTATATGAGAATAAAATGTACGAAATCTTTACTCTTGATAAAATCTGAATCCATCATTACCGCGATTGTTGCCTTGATAGTGGTCAGGCTTGTATACCGTGATGGTTCAATAAAGTTGTATTCCATGGACTACTTGTTCTGAAGTTCTACTATGTTGACAATACCTGTTGTAATCCCAAAGTCAAACATTTTAAGTCAAACAGCGGGGTTGAACTAACATCTGTACTAGTGTGGACAAAGGAAGGCGTTTCCTACAGATAGCCAATATTTCCACTCTACTTCCCCATATACAGAAGTAGGGGTTACAGGCTGGTTACTAAGATGATACAACCATTCCATATGAATGGCTGGTGGTGGTTTAAAAAATACATACTTAAGATAGAAAAAACTACTCAAAAGATGATATGTATGAACAGCCTCAAAACTGATGCACCTTGATCACCACTACTAGCCAATGTTTTTTTCAGACCATGCAACAACAAATACTATACGAAATGGGTAATCAAGAAGTGTCAACTACCCGTACAAGTTTAGCAGAACCGGAGCTAATCATATTGTTAATCGAACCACTTTCCCGGCTTTTGATAATTTTGGTTTTATCATCTACCTTTCTGCTCTGATTTGATTTCATGTGTAATCATTGCCAACGACTCGAGTTTACAAAATGTTAGGCGGAAACTTGTGGTATTTCACGATAGAGTGAAGATAACACTGATCGTCTACTGAATTTATGTTCAGATACCTATTTTTTGAAAAACATTGACTTGAAACGTGTAAAGAAACGTTTTCTAATCTAGTGAATGCAACATACTTACAGAAAAAGACAGACAAACTATATTACTATCGGTCCTATTTGAAAAGGCTGCACAAAAGGCTGTTACTCCTGTAGTATATATCTGAGCCTAGACCACTCTCTAGCGTGAGCACACATTTGTCTTAGCCTTACTAAAAGGATGAAAATTGCAGCAAAAAGACATTCTTGGACTTGGCTAAAAGAAAATGTAAAGGGTTGTTTTTAAGGAAGAACTGACAAGACACTTAGTCTACTACAAAGGTGATGTTCACTCTGAGATAGTCTGGTGTAAAAATAGCTTTAACCTATGTAAGCAATCAAAGCCGAAAGGTTAAGAAAGACCAATAGATTTCAGATACCATGACACTCATATTAGAAGGGTGTGAATAGGATGAGTAGCAAGGAATATCGATCGTGGATTCACAGAAAGCTAGCGAAATGACCAGTAGTAATGGTAGGGTGGAAAAGTAAAGGAAATGGAAGAGGTAGTATTGATAGGTACCAACAGACAACTGCATAAACTTGTTAAAGAGATGAAGGCTAAAGTTATTCATTAAGGAAACTGTCTGAAGAAAGCGAAGTCGTGATCTACTCCGAGACTAGATGACAAGCACGAAAAGTCAAACATTTGAAGGAAACGGTTCAATATACATCCGTTTCCTCATTGTTGTCAGCAGATTCGGTAGGATATGTATATTTTAGAACACGAAAGTAGCTTTATTTAACAATTATTACTAATTATTCAGTGTTCCAACACTTCATTGACCAGAATGGCATAAGACTTACATTCAAGCACGGCACTATCATTGCTCATTTTCCAGGCAACTTGTAACCATGAGTTGGTTTGCTTTATAAGTTGACGCTGACCCACTGAGTACATTTCATGTTCCATGCTTACATCACAACAGGAAGTACCGGTTACAGGACAAATGTTTGATGTAGGACCTTAAAAAATTAAAAATAAAAGTTATTGTATCCTACCAATGATAGTTGAACTATGAACTCCTGTTAGTATAGTATACCGTAATTTCATCCATTCTTGTTTGAAGGTGGTGCAATCAAGAGCATATGCTGATGTGCACAATGTCACTATTAGTAAAATGCTTCCGGAAGTTCGCATAACTTCAAAGCTAATCATTGCAGAGGCACTTTATGAAGAGCAACAGTAATAAGAGCAGGAATACAGTGGACACTAGTGGTTCATAATGATAAATGCTAAAAGAAAAAGAAAAATGTAGGCAAAGAAATTTGTTAAAAACCCAAAATTTTGAGTAGGTTGTTTAGCAAAATAATCACGTACTCGCATGAGGTCTAACTTTATACTCAATGGTTATTTAATTGCTAAGTTAAGTTTTAAATGATACTTCCAACTTATAAAGCACTACAATAAAATATATACACTAAGTATTAGTATTCCAGTACAGTACGTATTCATGTTAAGCGACAGTCGTTTAGAAATAAAACAATAACAACTTGGGCGAAAGATGTGTTGGGTTATTGACAGTTCAAGAATAAAATAAATAAGGAATAAATATGGAGGACGGTCTTCAAGTTCATGACTTAGAAAACTACCTATTGTTAGGACACAAGGTTATTTCCTTTGTTATTCATAACAGTGATTAGTTAGTGAGATCGCTTTTATGAAGTAAGAGTCTATTTTCATACTTCACACACCGATAAATTATATTTTACAAATGCTGAAATTCATAATGATAACTACGAAATGAAAAGGCTAGAAAAACTAAAAAAGGCACTGAATCAATTTATAAAGCGCTTGATTCCATATGAATTATTTTTTATTTATTTATTTGAACACATAAATATTGGTGCAAGGGGGCACCAAATATATACGCGCCACACAAAACAATCAGAATGGGAGGAGAAAAAAGAAGGTAAGGGGCGTAAAAGAGCAAAAAAGAAGAAGAGGAACAATAACGACCAGACTAGTGTAAGGATGATAATAATAATATTAATAATGATAATGGGGGAAACGGAAAGGTACAACCAGAAGAATTCTTTCATTTAAGGAAGATACAACCACTTTTTATGAAGAAAGTGAGAGAAGGTTATAGCATGATCGCCACTGGCTTCTATTCTGAGCCATATCTGATTACGTCTCTAACCACAGTGTCGCACCATCTCTCGGACCCCAGCCAGGGAGTCGTGAAGGACCAATACAAGCCAGCCCTTTGGTAATAATACCTATAAACACTACGATTGTTGGCCTGTGATAAGTGTGACGGTGTTCTAACATTTGGCGGATGGTGAAGCTATGATCAATACATCCTCGACCAGAACGAAAACCAGCCTGCTCCTCGCTAGTCAATCTTCCTCGGGTTTTGAACAACCTACGAAGTATGACGGAAGCCAATAGCTTGGACTCAGTTGGAAGTAGACTAATCCCCTGATATTTATTACAGGAACGACGTGAACCCGTTTTAAAGATAGGACAACTATCGACTCATTCCATGACGTTGGTACGCTCTCTAGTCCCCAGACCTTTGTGAACACAGTCAGTTCCTTAGCCAGAAAGTCACCACCATCTTTAAAATGAGCCAGGGGTAAGTCATCTGGGCCAGGTGATTTGTAGCGCTTCAAAAGTTGAAGTTCCTTGCGGACTTCCGCCTCATTTGATGGATCAGTCGTCACCGGCCATGGAGGGCAGGACAGTCTGACCGATGTTGCCGGAGCAGCAGGCCATTTGAAATGCCCTTCGAAGAATTCTACCCATCGTCCAAGACGTCGATGGATGTTAGTGATTGGCATCCCATCATCCTCACAGATTGTTTCGCTCACACCAGTGTTCTTGCTGCCAGTGACTCGGATGAGTTGGAAGAGCTTCCGGTAGTTACCAGATGCAGCTGCTGCTTCCAGCTCATTAGCACGCTCCGATCACCAGGTTTCATGTGGAAGTGTAAGAAATTTGTCTGAAATCCTTGAGATGTTAGGAATCTGTAAAAAAAGCCTGAATAGGGTGGTTTGAAAATAACAAGTAATATGTTCGCTTCTCATGTTTCTTTAACTTCCTTAAGCCCTATTATCCCATATATATTCGGCCTCCATATAATCAAGACTTTCCGTTTGTTTTAAAGTACTTCTTTTAACGAAATTCCTCAAACATAGGAGAAAATTTTACCATGTACATATCCGTGTACGTGGCTTTTAGCGGCAGTTCAGATGTGGAAGCTAGTGATACTATCTGGTTGTTGCACTAAGGAAAGGTACTTGAGAGAAATTTTTTGTTCGTTTGTTTACCAACTTTCAGAGTTACCAGAAGTTTCAATAGTAAAAACATTTTCCGAACAACCTGTTATTGACACTAGATTTAAGAGTTACTGAAATAGCACGAAAACTATGCTGAACTCCAAACTTTGTGTCAATCTGTCGAAACGTGAAAATAATGACTTACAGGATGATATAGTGATGTTAGCTAAAATCACTTAGAGCTTTAAAAAATAATTATTTAATAAAAACTGAATTTTTATTACTTTATACGCTTTTACACATAACGGGTTCGTTCGGGTCAACAAGATGAAAAGGCATTTCCACGTTTTTAGAGCACACTACGCATAAAGAACTATTTTCCATTAAACGAAGTGAGAGATTGACGGATTGGTACATCAAAGGATACTTCAACTTTCAAAGGAAACAGTCTTGAATTAAGAAGACTCGACAACTTTAAGAAGCAACTGTTCCATGCAAAAGTAATTTCTTGGAAAAAAGATGGAATCTGACATCCGTTTTGTGATCATCTTCGAGGATGTCGATAAAACCCTAAACAGAGTACCAACGCAACTATTGTGGAATGTGTATCGGACTGTGTCCTGTCAACAGAATGATGCAGCTTTTGTACACATCTTCGGGAACAGAAGTTTTAACAAACAGTTTGTTGAGATGTCTTTTGAAATAGCAGATATTGTTATACTGTACAATACCAGGTGATCAAACAGCTAACAAAGCATAAATAGACAACTAGCTGGAACAAACCCAATTGATGCCATAAGATTCAAAACTTTCGTTAATTAGCATAGACTCGTTTTTTAGTTGTGAATGCTAATGTTTGTTGAAAATATTCAGTAACAAGTACTGAGGTGGTATAATTTTTAAAGAATTGCTACAATACGAATAATATGATGAAGCATTGAAGCAGGTACTTTGTTTACAATGATAACTTGAAAACCCTCTCAAGAGATATGGTAATACATAATTTACGTACTCTGTGTTTATTAAGCATACGCTTCTGCCTTAAAGCAGTATGGCGAAGAAACGCAACAACAGTCGTGGAGTAGAATGATTAAATTATACCCACATGAATGAGATATGTCCACGGTGAGCTTGATTTTCACGAAGCTAAAATCTTGTGGAATGTTATAGCTTTGTAGTTTTGGTCTTGTAAATAGAATGTGATCGGTTATTAGTGTCACGAAAATTTGTGGTGAAACTGGCAACAAATATGATGTTTGTAAATGCATAACTTTACTAGCCACCAAATGCAACAGTATGGCCAAGGTTGGAGAGAGTCCGCATTCTATCTCGAAATTCTCTCATATGGCCAAGTGCATATAGTCACTGCCAATGAAGTCTTGTTCACTGCATTCCTGTGGCTGTGCTGTTTACGAAAAGCAAATGCCCAGCCACTAAACCAGGTTACTGAGAACGGAGGATTATCTCAAGAGAATTGAAAACCTCTGATTTTAAACCAATGGTAATCATGGGCCCCTTTGTACCAATGTTTGTGTCTAGATAAACAAATAATAAGTAATTCACCGGACGTTGGTAAACATATGAAATGAGGTTTAAGTACGAGGAACCAAGGCCAAAGTTAATTTGGTTACACCTCTTCATAAAAGCCGATGTGTTGAATAACCCAATTAGGACAAATGAAGTAAAAAGATAAGTAACAGTTCTGAAATAAACCCGAACAAAACGATCAGTTAGCAGACAACTAAGTGTTGCGAGTCACGATGCGATTTGTTTGACAAGAATGTACATATGTTGCAAAAATGTCTCTTAGAAGTCAACTTATTCAATTTGGGAGAGAATTGAGCACGTATTTTTGAGGAAGATATGGAAATTAAAATAGTACACATCTGAACAGTGTAACAGAATCACTTAATGTAAGAACGCAAGGGCACTATGAAAAATTGCCATCCACTTGAATTTAGATTTAGAAACTAAATAACCACTAAAATATGACATAAAACTCACCAAAACGGCCCAGTCCATAAAGCCCACCTAGTCCAAGAGACCTTGACGCTTTGTCAGTCAGTGAGTCATATAAACAAATTAGATTAATATAAATAATCATGATCATCAGAAAGTCACGACAGTGATCAAGTCTCGAGAATAGTGGCTATTTCTACAGATGTTAAGCAGTGCTATTTACTGATGGCTATGTTGGTTGGATGTACATAATTAAGCACCAGGGTTCCAGTGACATAATATTCATGTTTTATAATTTATACACTGTCTCTGATATTTTGAATTATGTTGTGGGATGACTCGCAGGTGTTCTTAAATGTATATTCCTCCTAACTATTGCCTTGTAACGCTGATTTGGATCTAAACTCACACGTCTTCAGAATCTAAACATTTTGGGTATGTGAGGTAGTTGTAGAGGGCTTGGAAAATCTCAGACGGTTTCACTGATACGCTATTAGATATATTATTATTCCACTTTTGGAACGAAATAGCAGGGTTTTCCTTTTTTATTTCTGAAGGACCCTGTAAATCCGCATTGATATATAACACCCTATGGTAGTTGGGTTGGCTGTAGAGTGAAGCAATTTACACTGTAATTAGGATAAATTACGTGTTCACGACTGTGTAACTCTCCTTTTAATGCGAGTGATTAATTTGTGTTTTTCAATGTTGAATGATTTACGAAAAAAGAATGTTTATCTAAGATCAATCAGTACTGTTAGGGGAATAACACCGAGTGCTAACTATACGATAGTGTAATCCGAATGTACCCTACCTCATATGTTTTAGTTCCGGACCCTGAATGACAACGGAAACATAGCAGGGGTTGATAATGGCCCTCATGAAAAGACTGCTAAGGTGGCATGATTCGGTCAGACTAGAGCAATAATTATATGTATCATTAGTCCTTCTATTAAATATATTTTAGCGCTAATATTATATCTATTCTTCAAAAGTTCTTACAAAGCCTTACACTGACAACTTTGATGAGGCATGTCAAGATAGAAATACGACTTGCGTCGAAGTGAGGTTATATAGATTAGGCAGTCACATTGCTCCAGGTTCATATTATTAGATTTGGTTTATTACTCTAGTACCATTGATGTGTACACCGATACCGACCTGTGACCTTGTAACAGCTTAGGTTGGTTGGTTCATAGTCGACCTCAAACAACTAAGCATATGTCATAACAATATATTTAAAGTATTCATTCACTTCCTTATTTTGTATAGGAGTTATATTTCCTGTTATCTTATGTTGCATGTTGAAAGGCTTTGTTTATCTGAACAGATAATCCCACGATCGATTGTGACTGTGAGGATGAAAATAAAGACCTACTCACTACTAGTCTGCTTTCTTCTACCAATAGCACGAGGGTTACCTACAGGCAGGAAAACCTAAATCCTTTGATTATGGGCTCAACTAAGGAAATGTAATTTGTTGTGTATCCTCATATTTTATTACAATCGCATATATTTGTTCTTACTTCTTAGTCCATTTTCGTAATTCAGTAGGGATTGGTATTCAGATTCAGCTTACCGAATCGATGGATACAAATTGCTAATCAACTATAGTTTTGCTTGCTATTACGGTTCATTGAAGAGTTTCGGTAGCATTCACATGCACCGATCAAATTAGTTTGTTGAAATATAGACCAATAGGAACTATAAATTCAAATAAATATAGAAGCATCAGGGCCGGTGATGTATGTGGGTAACGACCAAACGACTGTCTTGAACTGACTTCTCATCTTTCTTTGCATTGTGGACTACCCTTTTCTTTCGACCACTTCGTTACCAATTTTTGATTAGTGCTTACTACTTTCAGATAGAAAAGAAATGTGGTCAAAAATTATTGAAATCCATAGCAATTATTGTTTAATCCAAACTACGGTTTGGACCAATGGACAGCTGTCTGGATGAGTTAGATACGCGCCCTCGCCCGTTTGAAACAAAAACAAAGTAATTGGGTAAGATGACGATTCTAAACAAGTATGACCACTCAGCTATCCAATCAATAATTGTTCAATTGATCAAATCAATCACAACAAATAAATGTTATTCTATCCTGTCTGGATAGACCACGTACAAACTCGTTCAAAAGGTAATAATTGGTCGCTCCATAACACAGAGTGTTTTCAACTCTGGAAGAATGCCTCAATTCACAACCAAAATGCACAATTCCAGTCAACACAGGTAAAGCAATCAAAAGGAGGAACAAACCAATATGGCTGCCGCCAAGACTGAGTATAAAGTAAAACAACATAAGTGCGGTTCGGGAAGAAACACAGGGAATTAGTGAAGGTGTAATAAAAATAAAAACTATAATAAAATACAAATATTAGCAATTCAAATGTAATCCATAGCTAACAATGTACAACTAAAGAGATCAATAGGAACAAAGGGCAAGTATGCACATGGAGGAATTTTCACAAACACACAAAACATTCCAAATGGATCTTACAATTATTATGGTGCTTATAGTTGCTTTCCTTTAAACTGGTTATATATTTTGTCGAAGAAACTTTACCCCTTATAACCTAACGTCGACAACAAATATATTCAAGTGCTTTCTAAGAAAACGTTTCACCAAATATTTTGCATCCAGGAAGAAGGACTCTGAATTTTTTATTGTTTCGACACTATGTGGTATTTTATTTGTTGTCACTGTATATTTGTAAATGTTTTGGACCAAGCGAACTGCGGTAAATTTTCCAATCTTGCAAATCCACTTTACCTGCTACTCAGCCTGTACTCAATCTTCTACCAAAGTAAACGCCCCAACAGGCCCAAACACTGCAGTTTGCGTATCTCTGCCATGTTACATTTAATTTACCAGAATCCCAGTGAAAACTGCAGAAGTTTCCAGATATTGATACATTTAGTGAGGCTAGTGCTAGTGATGTGACTGAACAGTTGACGACTGACTTCGTAGATTGTAGATCACAGGCAAACAAACCGTCCCTCATGCAGCGAAAATCACTGGTGACAGCCAGGCACTCCGGACAATTAGACATCAGCCGTTATCTAAGGCCCAAATGCTCTCAAAGACATTACAATACCTCAATACATGACATAACATTGATAAGCAATAATTAGTCTACTAACTAGAGGACCTTGGTGACGACCGATCAACCAAGAAGCCTCTTGTTGAAAAACAAACAAAAAGCACACTTACATTTCAGTAGTAATAAAACCGAAGTAATGGGTGGGGTTGGTCTGCTAATTAATTCATACTCGGTTTCACACCAGCTGCACACTCAATATTCTGCTATCTTGACTAATCTGTGTGGTGCCCGATTTCTTGACCCAGTATTTAGACCTAGAAAAATCGAGGTTGTCACATCGCTTCAATACTCAAAGGAAGTCAGAGCAATTGTCCTACCAGTCAGTGATTTTTCTTTCTGTACACTGTTAAGATGTAGAGTTTTTGTCTGCAGCTCCGTTTGCAGCTGTCTAAGGAAATTATTTGTCTCCCAAGGAAGAAGATTTGGCGAGGTTCTCAGGAATAAGTGCTGAGGCCATCGCTCCTTATGGAATTCGTAAGCGATCTTCACCTTAGATGTCTTCCTAATGTTTGTGAGGCTAATGGAAGGTAATCGTGCCGTAGCCAAATCATCCATTGGGCAGTGAATGCCAATCAATTTACTGATCCTCATTATTGTCAACCACAACCAACACGTATCAATCAATTTTGTGTCACGAACAGTCTCATACGGCAGTAGTTCCATACGAATTTCTACAACATGCTGATACTAACATATGCTGATGCTTATTGGGAGCGTTTGTTCTAGCGAGTCGTTTGGGAAGTTAATTCAAATGGTCACCATGATAGCATAATCTAGGTGATCTGTTGATTTCGAGTTTTGATTTCGACGTATTCCAGGTCAAACTGTTACTTCCCAATCCGAGTAGGCCTGTCATTATTCACAAAGGCCACCTGCTTTAGTGATACACATGTTTCTTCATGGCAACGATGTAAAGCTCGCAAAAAACTTCGGTAGGACTCAAATAAATTTTCAAGTCTGGTGGATAATAATTGACTCGCATTTATGTCTAGAAGTTACAAAGTATTTTTTTGGATAAAAGCAAACTGACTTCTCTGTTTGAATAAATCTCTATTCGAAGTATCGCATGCCGAACAACGTTAAAGTTTCTTAATCCCCTGGGGTCTGAAATTAGGAGTTGAATGTTGGACCAACAAATTTGAAGTGCTATTTTAGAGAACTTTTGTGGTAAACAGATATACCGCGAAGTCTAAATCTTAAGCTAGTTTGTTACCAGATTAGATAAGCCCTATGACACATTGAAATGTGGTCTGATTTGTACGCCTGAATAAGAGCTTTCAGCTAGTGGCGTGTTCAGCAAGATCGGTACAGAAATATGTCAAAGCTACTTACCTTGGGTGAATATTTACAGCTATTAGAGACTCGGGGTTGGTTTGATAATTGATTTTGACACTGCAGGATCCTCTGGAGATAAACCAAGACGTGTAAGTACGTTTTTGATTTGAGGTGTAAAACCTTAAGGACAGATGTCTGGTGTAGGAGGTCAACCTGTGGACATAACTACAACCCTTCAAGAGTGGAGACGTCTTATTATTTCTCACCATCTAATGTTGTTCAGGAAACTTCCTCGGGAAAAGGAGATGATTTTATATTTTCTAAAGGATTCAACGGAGAATCGCATCATGGTTTGTCAAGCGTTTATTTGTTCGAGCATTTTTATTCGTATGCCTGAGTTCTTACTGTAATGTCGAGCGAAGGAAGTCAAATACAAACATTTGCCGCATTTGTGACCGGCATTTACTTGTATGGTAATATAAAAATCTGAGATATGAGTTGGAAAGTGCTTATGTGCCGTAATTATAGGTGATATGATACTGCACGATGCTTTCAGCCTAATCTTACGTGAAAGTTGTATTATTATATTATACACTGACTCATCGTTCGTGACCACTGAGAAAATGATACTTCGTTCTTCTAAAGAACCCATTTGGGTTGGGTATAGAACAATATATTTAGTGTGGATAGTAATAAGTTTCACAT